AAGTCGAACTGAGTCACTTATCAACTGCATTTTACAATTTGTGTAAACTACTTACACACTCACTACACGTTTGTATCTTATTAGTTATATTTAAACAATAACTAGCGTAAATGAAATAATGACACTGATGATAAAATGAGAATCCCAACGCTGAAAGCATGGTTATATTGAAACGTGAAACGCATAGCGAGCATACGGACTGCGTCACGCCACAGTCGAAAGATAAGCGGCAATTTAATTTAACAGCGTTAAAGTTGACAATGGGCGGACGACGAATTGGTGAAACACGCGAACTCCGATAAAACGGCACAATGGGTCAGCCCTGCGGCGTGGCGACTCTACGTGCTTATCTCGCAATAACCGAGTCTTTGTCACCGCGGCTGCTAACATGCTCATTATGTGGTAATTACGATATCATATGACCATAGTTCTTGACTTCAACATTACAACCGGAACACTACAAACATGAAAGCGATTGACTCGAATAATCAGAATGCACTAATCAATAATCATCCGAATCGTTTCACGGCGACTCTTTATTCAGTATTATTTAATAAGAGATATAAGGTTATTAGATTTAGTTACACTATACCGAGATCAGTTTTAAGAAGTGGTAATACTGAACTCTTACCCGAATCACTTTACACGCAACTTGTGGAACTTAACCCCAATCTTTGGCGTAAAATGGAAGTGATACACTTTCCACCCGTTAAACTCATGGATAGTCCGGTTCCATGGGTAAATAATGTCAAATACTTAGGTGTCTTCCTTGACTCTAAACTCAAATTCAGACAGCACGTGACTCGGGTCAGGAACCGGGCGGCCTTCGTACTAGGTAGCCTGTATCCCCTTTTAAATAAAACTTCAAAAATGTCCCTTAAGGCAGTAGTTCGCCCCATCATGACATACGCGAGTCCGGTCTTTGCGCACATTGCCCCGAGGCAAATACATCGGCTTCAGGTCATCCAGAATCGATTTTTGCGCAGAGCTACGGGAGCCCCGTGGTTCATGCGGAACATCGACTTACATGTAGATTTACAGCTGCCAACCATCGCTCAATTCCTGAAGTCAGCGTCGCGCCGCTACTTCGAATCCGCCGCCGCGCATCCCAATCCGTTAGTTGTAGGTGCCGTCACCTACAAACCCCTACCGCTAGGTTCGTTCCGTCGCCAATGGCGCAGACCACGACACGTACTCGATTTCTTTGACGATGAGACGAGTATCGCCATCGACAAAATAAAACAATTACGCAAACACATCAGATCACACCGCACTCGCCGGCGAGTGCGGCAAACATATACTAGGTTCCGCCACGTACCTGGCAGGTTTTCCCCCGTTAATGATAGAAGCGTTGCTGGAGTTTTTTCCGCCACTTCTTCTCCCAGCGCCAACGCTTTCCGAAGTGGCAGTAATTTTAGATCTAGAAATTCTCCCAGTCAGATAATAGCTACCGATCGAGCCGAAGTCCGGCCCTCTCGGGCACCCTCGAATCGGAATGCTAAACGCGTATTGAGTGACAGCCCAAGCCGAGGTTCCCTCTCGGAGACCCTTGAGCCTGGTCACTCCATGGAGCGTCCGCCAAAGCGCCCTAAGAGCTTGGCAGCCTCCCAAACCGGTAATAATAATAGAGTGACGGCCCGAGCCGAGGCTCCCGGGAGCCCTCGAGCTTAGTCACCATAACGCGTAATAATATTACGCCGAGGTTCAGGCTAGGCGCCCCGAGCGCCCGGCCACCTCAAGTCCGGCGAAACCGTAAAGGCCCCTAAGGCCAACAGTAGCTCATCAAGCCCAAAAAAAAAATGATACACTTCTGCGTTTCGTCTGATGAGTGAGGTAACCGGAGCCTACGTCAATAAAATGTGGCAACGCATCTGAGACCCTAAGGGTGTTCCAAATGTCCATGGGCGGCGATTTACACTTAACATCAAGTGAAACACTAGCTCGCTTCTCACATAAAAAAATCGCTGGTACCTACGCCGGTAAGTTGGTACCAACGTTTGAAGTGAGTGTTGGGGCCATATTTTTTCTATACAAACCATCAGCATTAGATCTGATTTTGCTATATTTTTCAGGTTTATTACATTTACAATTAAATTTATTAACGCACTATGAAGGGCAATCATTGGTTAACAATACGTTCATTTATTTTCTAATGCAGTTGTTAAGTTTAAACCCTGCTCTAAATTTTAGTTGAATTTGTGACGACCATAACTTATCTGAGCCCTGACAATATAAACAATTTTACTTACTGAAATGTAGATGACAGATATTTTTAACGGGCAAATTGAAAAATAACAACCAACTTGTATTGAAATTGCAAAGAGTAAACAAAATTTTCAATTTGACGGCAAAATACGACGAACTCGAAATAATCAATAACTAAAAACGAAGACATTATGATTCAACTGTTTCATATTGTGTGTGAATAATCATTAATAATTAACAATGATATGTCGACCCGATTGGCGTGGGGAGTAGTGACCCTGCCTCTTGCGCCAGAGGGTGTTGGTTCGATCCCCACTACTGGAAAAATTTTGTGTGATGAACATAGTGTTTTTCCAGTGTCTGGGTGTTTTCATATGTATATTAATGTATTTATTTACAAAAGAAAAGTATGTATATCAGTTTTCTAGTACCCGTAGTACAAGCGTTGCTTAGTTTGGGACTAGAGAAAATGTTGTGTAAAAAATGTGTCCGAATTATTTATTATTTATTTATATTAATTTATAGTTTGTTTATGATTTCACCTTTTGAGACACCTTAGATTTATGAGAACACCTTTACTTGCTAACGTTCATAACATGTCTGTTAACATGTATGTTCCCATAAAATATTCCGAAGGCATATTTTCAAATGTCAGTAGCGTCATAAGAACTAATGGCTCTCTCATTCGATAAAATTCAAAATGGATAGAGGAAAAGACATTGAATGAAAGCAAATCGCCTGAAAATCTGTTTCCTTTCTAGCAGAGCATGTCAATCAAAGTGAAAAAATATTTTCTGTGAAATTCCTGAATATGGAAAGCGACTAAAAATTTATTGTATTTTCTGAGGTACTTTTAAAATGTTGAAAAATTTTAGGGATAGATAAGAATGAAGAAATGCTTTCGAATACGTAACCAAGATGTAAAAATAGTATCAGCCAAATTTATTCTATTACTTTGGGTTTCTTTTTTTTTAAATACTGTCACATCCTTTTTTATCAGGCAATTACGGAAAGATTTCGTCAACAAATTATGCAAGCTCATTTTTACAGGAACAAAACGTAGGCACGCACTATGCATCCAGTATAGAAAAATATATAATGTAGTATCGTCACATAAATAAATTTCACGAAGAAAAATTGTTTATTTTAAAAATAAGAAATATTTTTTAAATCATCTATCATCTACCATCCAATATTATAAACGTACGCCTTAAATTTTCTTTAAAATTTAGAGAACCGTCGATATTGGGGTCATTAACTAGCTAGTGATTGATTACCTTTATTACGATTTTTGATAAAACTCGTTTAAAATTTAGACGTTCGCGTTAGACTAACTTGGGCTACACTAGACAAAACACAGTCATAAAATAGAAAGCTTTAAAAGCACGCGATATAACCCCCAGGATATTAAGACTATATTATATTTTTTTTATTTAATAATATTATATACGATTTATGACAGAGGTATAACCATTCGTCATAAAAATAAACTGAAGTAATGTAATTAAAAAGTTGACATTAAACCTTTACTTGCTAACAAAAATCACATTAGTTTGGAATACATGATATTGAAATAAAACCTTATATATTTCCACGCAGTCAACCTGATGAAAAGTTACTATGTAACTAACAGTTCCATTTGTCCTTAATGAATAATTATGACGCTAATACAAAGGAAAGAGATTAAATCTTGACGACTAGTACTTGCCCCAATTGTTTTCGAATTGAGCATGAGAGAAATAAAAATTTTGTTATTCTGGTGATAATTAATTTTATTAAATAAAGAATAAAAATTGGAAGGTTTAGCTTTTACAAACCAACGATATTACTTTTAATATCGTTTGAATAGAAAATAATGAGAAATAAATGCTTGGGTCAATGTGCGGCGAAACTTTTTATTAGATTTCTTTCTGTTCTTGAATGAGTTGAAAAGTTCACCTAGTATGGATGTTTGGAATAAAAACTGAATTTAGAATGCCTTTTCGTTGTCGTTTTGAACCATTATTTTGTATTTTTCTAGTAGTGTGATACAAAAAAAATTTCGCATTGAGACGTAAGTGACATAAACTGTTTATGAAAGCAGTTGTAATTTTACTTTGTTGTAAATTTACTTTCATAAAACGTAAAGAAAGTTTAAATAAAGCAGGGAGAGAATTTGGAGTAATTTCAAAAAAGAAAGAAGAAAGCAATGACCTCTGACGACACGACGCTTTTAGTGCAAAGCAAAGCTAAAATTAAAATATCTGTGAAACAGCTGACGCCCGACGGGCGAATTACTAATACTTTAGGAAATACAATAAATTAGTATTTTAATAAAGAGCCTTGACATGAAATACTTTCCCGAAGTGCTTCTTGAAAATTAAACAGCAATTAACGACAGCCGTTTAATAAGTCTATGATTATGCACTTCGACGGCAAATCAGTACCTAATCGTAACGCTATTATCGAGGAAATTTTTATCGTGTATTGATAAGAAGTCTCTAATTGCAAGTTGTATGAAAAATATAGCACGCACACAAACACAATTGTATTGAGAACATTAAGCATAAAAAGTCTGTGTAATATTTTTAATCCAAGCGTTAAATAACACATTAGAAGATTATTTTTTGTAAAATCTTAATATTCCTTACAGTCACTTTAATTTTATGGAAAAATCGCTATAATTTGTTTAAGTCACTACCAAACACAACACGAACGATAAAAAAATCGCCTAATACATAATTAGAAAAAATATCGAGCGAGACCATGGAATGTAACGTAACACACTATTAGAAATATTTTGTATGTAAACTCACTGCGTGTGCCGACACGTGGTTTCTTGGGCAGAAATTATCACAAGCGTTCAGTGTAGGAAAGAGCGCTACAACGACTGACCACGGAATAGACGTTGTACAGATGGAATACCCTTGTATTTACCGAAACGTGGTTGAAGCAAAATCCCTTTACTAGGCGATGAAAATAATAATGCGTTCGTAAGCACAAAAATACGTTCTATTGTAACGGTATAAAGTTCAAAATTTATTACACTTTTGTGGTTCGTAAAGAAGTGTTCGGAAACCGGCGAACCTCATGCTATCACGCTCTTTTCCTGTTAGATTAATACCATCCGACAGAGACGCACGTTGACTGACACGCCAATGCGAGTATATTCACCTAAGTAGTGAATGACCGTGAAAGACGAACAACCCCAAACTTTCACGTACTTACACGCTTTAACATAATAATTTTTTATAAGTTTAGGTTTCATAAATTTTTAATAGCTAAGCTCAAATTAATACTTTCCATAAAAGACACGTCTAGTAAGTCATTTTAGGAGAAGTTAAAATTTCAAAGTGAGACAGAGCTTTATAATTTATAACTATTAAAGCTTTGAGCTAGAGTAGTATTCATGAAAAGAATTATAACTTATTTACAAAAATGTAAATAAAAATAATCCATTAATTTTGGATAATCGTACAATAGACGGTTGTATTATGATGCTACTATTACTCTCTTAATCTTTAAAAAATTTAAATTTTGGGGGAAAAAAATTCTCTTTTTATTTAAATTGACCTAAAATTTATTTCACATAATATGTGGAATACGCAAATCATAATGAGAATTAACAAATGAGCAATGGACTGATAACACAATTGACTTAATGATTTTTTTAAGTATTAAGAGCGATTCACTTACCTATACATAAAGGCACAGTATCATTCCACCGATTATCATCAAAGCACCAAAGCATTCTTGCCCTCTGGTGCGTATCAGCGAAAACAAAATTTACATTACACATGTAATGAGCAACATCTTCGTTACGGTACACAAGATAACCGTCAGATGGCGCTGGTAATGTAACGCATCCCATACCTAAGAGATGATGTATTATGATTATATGTTTGACATATTAGTGATTCATATTTAAATTATAAAATATTAAAACTTTTGACTTGTATAGTACAACAAAATTTCTATTGCAATCATATTACATAAATTTTTTCATGCCATCTAGCGAGCCACAGCTGAACTAACAATAATGCAAGTAACTTCCTCATTCTGCGCATCCAACAGATGGCGCCGTATCAATAAGTGTGACGAAAAAATTATTTCAATAATGAAAGAAACTAACTTTCTTCATAGTAAATTATTTATAAAATTGTAATAAATGTTATTCTAATATTTATTCATGCTATATATTATAAGTCATAAGAGCTCCGAGCTCTCGTACTCACTCGTCTTGTATCTTGTATTAACTGATGTTTGTGCTTACAGTCCCGAGACTATTAAAGCTTCATCTGACGCAGAACCGGTGGGCTAGCCAGAACCCACGGGTTTGGGCCCTCCGCTGTGGGTAGGGCCACGCATGTGCTCATGCGTGCGTTTAAGTGTGGTGTGTCATCTAAGGGCCATCGAGGTCGCGGTTCGGACCGAAACCCCGATGGCCGTCGACTGTGCAATTAGCTAATCGGTGGCTGGGAGCGGTGAGAACCGCCCCGGAACGCGGGTGTACCTTGTGTACGCGTTGTGTTGGTCTCGCCGTGCTCGAAGGCGAGGGCGAACTAGTATGTTTGTTGTTGCACTAACTGTGGGTGTATTGTTATCCGGCGGGACCCCCGGCGGTGGGTCCGGCGTATCTAAGTCCCCTTCCTCGACCGGGTCGATGAGGACGTTTCGCGGGCGACGCTTGTTGACGTTCGCGTTTGTGTCGGGTTGGTAATTTGCTGCGCTTACCACCAGAGGGTTGGGATGATGTTCGGCTCTATCGAAGAACCGTTTCGGTCAGGTCTTTAAAATATTCGCGAATCGTCGGGAGTCTGCAATCGCTGTGCAGGTCGACGTTGCGTTGATACCACTGCGCACCGGTTGCACGGCGGATGAACTTATTTTGTACTATTTGCAACTTGTACAAGCGAGTAGGGTGCGTGTGGGCGAAGGTCATGCATGCGTAAGACATAATAGGTCGTACGCAGGTCTTATATAATAATAATTTGTGTCTTAAGGGCATTTTACTTTTAGCGTTAGTTAAATTGTGTAGCCGGCCGGAGACGAACGCGGCTCTATTGCGAAAGTTATTAATGTGCGTATTAAATGACATACGTGAGTCGAAATTGACTCCTAAGTATTTGACCTTTTTCTCCCAGGGGAGCGGTTGGCCATAAAGGGATATTTGCCCCAAATTTCTGCATTGACGAGGGCCATTATAAAGATGTGACGGGTAAGTACTTCGTGTGAAATGATTCGCCACACTCTTTTCGGGATTTATTTCTATTCTCCATTTGCGGAACCAGTCGCCGAGGCGGTCGGCGGCGCTTTGGAGTCGAGGGGTTAGTTGTCTAATGTTGCGGGCTGAATAAAAGAGCGCCGTGTCATCCGCGAAAAGCGCGAGATTGACGTGGGGGTCTTTAGGTATATCGCTCGTGTAGAGCGTAAAGAGCAAAGGTGAGAGGCAGGAGCCTTGTGGTACGCCGGCCGTGAGGCGGCGGCTTGTGGAGAGGGTGCCTTCAACTCGATATCGAAAAGAGCGGTTTGACAGGAAGGCCCGGATGGTGTGTACGAGCCAACTGGCACTTTGAGTGTGTACAGCTTGTAAAGCAAGCCGTTATGCCAGACCTTGTCGAATGCTTTTGCGACATCGAAGAAAAGAGCCTCTGTACTAATATGTTTAGGGTGATTTAGGCCTTTTAGGATATGTTCCGTTAGGCGGAATAGTTGATCGGGACAGGAATGTCTAGCTCGAAAGCCGAATTGTTCCGCCGGCAGAAGGCCGTTGGTAAACACGTGCTCATTGAGCCTGTTTAATAAAAGCCGCTCGTAGAGCTTCCCCAGGCAACTGAGGAGGCTGATGGGACGATAACTAGAGAGCTGGTTGGCTGGTTTATTCGGCTTGCGAATGCCGATAACCGTGGCTTCTTTCCAGTCGTCCGGAAAGGAGCAACTGGAGAGTAAAGTGTTGTAAATGGTCGCCAGTAAACAGATAAGCGGCCCAGGGAGAGCTTTAAGAATTTTGTTACTAATATTATCTGGGCCCGGGGCGGATTTGGGTTTTAAGTTTTTAATAATATCTTGGACCTCTTCGGGGGCACTGAACTCATAGGTTCGCCTTCCGGTGGAAGTGTAGCTCTAATCTCGATTACGCGGTCCACCTCCGTTAGGTGGGCTGTAACGATGTGTTCGCGCGATGACGTTGTCCGGCTGACTAGGTTGTCCGCAAGGCATTCGGCTTTTTCGGAGTCATCTAGGGCTAATGAAGTGCTATTAGGCATTGCTAACGGCGGTAGGGATTCGCGGGGCTCTGCTTTCAGACTGCGGGCCAACCGCCAGTAGGCGGTGTGCGATGGCTCGATGTCCTCTAGGAGAGTGTCCCTCGTTATATATCGGTGTTCCGATACACGATCTTTGACTTCTAGCTGAAGGCGTCGAAGTATGGTTCGGTTCGATTCCGATCGGTATCGGTCGAAAGAGCGTTTGGCTGCATTTTTCTGCCTAATTAGCAGTCGCAGGTCGGGCGGAAAGTTAAACCGTCGGTCGCCTGACAGTTTCACCGTCCGTTCCGAGTCTGCGACTGCGGAAGTGATGGTTTTTCGGAGACTTGCTATCGCTCGATCTGCGTCATCGAACGTAGCTATCGTCTCGGGTAGGTCGACTAAGTCCTGGGAGTCCAAGGCCTTGAGTTTGACCTCAAGACGATGCCAGTCCACTACGGATTTGGTCGGAGGCACCGCGCCGGTGTTCTGGCCCAGTTTACACAGGACGGGCCTGTGATCTGAGTCTAGTTCATGGATTGTCTCTATCGACTCGATGTCGAGTGAGACCTCCCTGAATAACATAATGTCTAGGACACTCGGTGACGCGTGTTGGTAGTTGTCCACCGTAGGATACCTAGTGGGAGTCGCGGGAGCGTCTATGCTAAAGTTTAGGTTATCGGATAATGATGCTTGATGAGAGATGCTTTCCGTTGTTGTTTGGGATGCTGTGGGTGTCCCATGAGCCGTGTTTGCAGTTTAGATTTACTGCAATTATCACGGAAGGGCCTAAGTTAAGTAGCGTATCTAGGTCGCTTTGAAGTAAGGTTCTATTCCCCGAGAGGTAGGCTGAGACTAGTACAAGCGGCCTGTGGCCGGTGAGCGCTAATCTACACGCGGATACCTCTATTTGACTTAGCTCTGGAATGTCAAGCGGGCAACAGTGCAAGGACCGTTTATAATAAATTAATGTGCCTCCCAGACGGTTTGCTAACCGGTCGTGGCGGACAATATTGTAATTTGCGATTCTGGGATCGCGTACACTAGGTTTCAAGAATGTCTCTTGCACTAGAAAAATATCTACGTTATAATCGCGAAGGAATTCCGCGATTTCGTCCCTTTGACCCTTTATGCCGTTTGCGTTGAAATACCAAACAACCAGAGCCCGAGGTTTTGTTCTACCTGCGGTTGTACTTCCCATTAAGGTGTTTTTATGGGTCTAATTAACGACGCGGCGGAGCGCGGTTTTATTGCGCGGACTATTGTTTTTTATGGTTGGCTCGTAAAAGCCCAAAGGGCTTCCACAAGCGTTTTATGTTGGCCAATTGCCAGATGTGGCGGCCGCTATTTTAGCGGACAATACGGCGAGTTCCTGCCTATTGATCCTATCTAATAGGCTACAGATGTTTGCTATTTGCGCGAATGGGTCGTCCTTGTTTTCCGCGAAAACTGACGGAGTTGGCTGCACCTGCGGCCGCGGCGCCGTTTGAGAGGCGGGCAGCTGTTGTGCGATCGGTCGTGAGGCGACCGGGATTACCGGCGTGGTTATCTGCGCGGCCACCTGGGGTTTCGCCCAGGCGTTTGTGACGGGTACGGGCGCGGGAACGTATTTAACGGGCGCGAGTTTGGGCAACGTGGATTTCGCGGGAGATTTTCTCGCGGGAGTTTTCGGGGCCTTAACGCAACCTCTGTAGCTAGCCGGGTGGCCGGTGGCGTGACAGTTTACGCAGTCCGGCGGATCTGCGCAATCTTTCGGCCTCGTGCACTCGGTAGTGCCGTGGTCACCGGTGCATTTGACGCACCATGGGTGAGCGAAGCAGTTATTGGCCGTGTGGCCAAAATGCTGACAGTTGTGGCACTGTGCCACAACACCTGATTTACGCGGGGGCTCGATGACTAGGCCACTGAGCCCACAGACCCTCTTTAGGTTGAAGATGGCCTTACCTTCCGGGGTAGGGTCAAGTTCAACCATGACCATGTCCATAGGGTCACGGGTTCTGGGGTGTCTAAGTCGTCGCACTGCGTGTACGGGGTATCCCTGAGTGCGGATATCGACTTTGACCTTATCGACATCCGACTCTTTCGGGTCGCCCTTGATAACTACCCGAAGTTTGCGTTCTTCGGGCAACGAGTAGGTGTGAAAAGGCCGCCGCGGCCTATCTTATTTTCGCGCAAGTATTTCGTTCGCGGCGGAAATCGATTCCGTTGAGGCAAGGTATACGGGGTCGCCATCGGTAGCGGGGTGTTTTTCGACCCTTTTTCGCGGATTTTATGACGGTGGCCGTTCAAACCACGAACAGCGGGGGTCGTTTCGACCTCCATATCCGATCCGCCGTCCGATTGTGAGTCGGGTACGGCGGTGTGGACGGGGGCCGATTGGGGTTGCGTGGAAGGCGCGACGGGCACGATCGCGGCGGCGGAAGTCGACGCGACGGGCGTTTCGGATATCGCTGAAGGCGACGCATTAGCGGGTGCAGAGGGCACCGGAGATGGCGGCGAGGTGACAGCCGTGGAGGCCGAGCTGTCGCTAGCGAACTCGGCTAGGCGTCGTTCATTCGCGAACGCGAGGAATTTCGCCCACACTTCGGGACATTGCTGACGTAGGAACTCCTCTAGGAGGGAACCCATTACGAGCGCTTGAACCTTTGGGGCTTGCGCCCCGCCGGCGTGTAGGTTACTAAATAGGCCTCCCCACCTTGCGGCAGGGAGGTGTGTGCCTAAAATAAAACAGTTATTCGCCTGCGCTTTAGGTGCGCTAGGGTGAGTACCTAGCTGTCGCCTGTCGCAACAAGCACACAGTTATTAAATAAAACAATGCAGCCTCTGAGGCGAGAAGTGTGTATAGAATTCTACTTACAGAACAGGCCTGCCTTCGAGCACAACACAACACTAACACTAAACTATTGCACTGTTTGCACAAAGATTTAAAATGCAACCGAAGTTGCGAGTAGCGTCTAATTCGGGTGGCATGAGCCCTCCGTCTTAGATAGAGGTCCGTTCCGTACGAGAGCACCGAGCGGAACGTCGTACTCACTCTTATAATGTAATAAAACTCCTCTTTTCGGGAAAGCACCCTGTGATTTGGTTTCAACTATTACTTCCACGGTATTTGTTGTGGATAACAGCCGGACGGGCAAATCCACTTGCTCACACGTTGAAAGAAGCGTCTCCCCATTGGAGTCCACCACTATCACGTAATCTGTACATTGCGGTTCAAACGGACCAATACCTGAAAACAAAATCAGGCCTTTTGTAAGTCGCAACTCAAATAATACACAAAAAACTCTTAACGCTTATTAAATCAAATGTTTTAAACTTTTAGAAAGCTTTTGAAATTAATATTTATCCTATGTATTAACTATGCTTATATTCTTTTGTTATATTAAATTAATGTTATATTATATTATTTATATTCATTTCATACAATTTTGATCATAATGTTAGATAGATAAACTTACTGCGTAAACTGACATCCAGTAGAGATACTCGGATACGCTGCTCAGGGTTGGACCTTAGCCGCCAGCGGCATTCGTCTCCCACATAGAAATGGGGATACCCTGGGGTCCGTATGTAACCCTCACTGTCGGGCCCGGACGCTGCCACTGTTACCTCTCGGTTACAATAGTGCACCGCTAAGGAGTCTGCAATCAAATTGAAACGCATGTAAACTGTGTATATGTATATAAAGAAATTATTAATTATTACGCAGCGTTGTTAATTTATTATATTGTAGAGCCGGAAACGACGCTAAATTCAAACAACTTTGGAGACAACGTATTAAAGAACTAATCATTTGTATGGGCGAAAGTAGTGGATGAGTTCGAAGCGACACCATCCATGTCAAAATAAACATGTAGCTCATTAAACACCCCGTCTTCAAATTTAATCGAGAATTTTGGAACTTAATCAAAAAGTTTGATTGTTGCACAGTTAAAGGGCAATCCCATCACCCGGACAATCCCAGTTGGAAACATCGTAAATAATAATCGTCACGTATTTTTCGACTTTTTACGACTGTCAACGCGCCGTTTCGGGCACGACGACTAAGTGCATAATAATGCGGGGGATTTATTAATCATGCCAACACTTGGATGGACGGGACGACTCTCGGTGCTGTTTACGGCGGCTTTGGGTCGTTAAGGGGAATATTTTGGCGCCGGGCTTCTTTGTTCTTTCTGAATGTTCTTCATAAAACTCCGTTAAAAGTACGTTATGGAGAAAGGGCGAGTTTTAAGGATGACAGTATGAACTTGGGCGTTGCATTATGACTCCGAGATAATTTACTGTAGTAATTTTAAAAGCTTTTGCCATTACGAATGGACTCGTTCGGAGTATCGCAACACCAAAGAAGGGTTTCTGGTGAGTGGGGTAGCAGGGGTCCATTCTAGATCAATATATTTTCTACTTCTTTTCTTTCTCCTCTGTCTACGATTAGAGACCATTGTATGGCAACAAGTTTGTTGGATCATGGAAAGCGTCGCCTAATGCTTCTCTTATTCTCTACATTTTATCTCTTAGCCCCGTATGTAACCTTAAACTCAACATATCGTGTTAAAATATTTACAGTTTTAGTTATCCGATTAAATAATGATTTTGGTGACTTTGAGCAAAATAACTCCATGTCTAAACATAATAGAACATGACATTATAAACAATACTACACAATATCGTTTTTTGTATTCGTTTTTCACTTCGTCATAAGTAATCCTCGGTAGTATAGTGGTGAGTATCCCCGCCTGTCACGCGGGAGACCGGGGTTCGATTCCGCGCCGGGGAGACTTTTTTTGCTTCTTTTTTAAGTCTAAATATTAATAAGTTAAATTACGAAGTATTTGTTTTCTTCGAAATTTTTTATGGTACTGGTATCTTAATATTTGGATGAATGATGTTTTGTTATTGTAATTTTTCGAATTTTTCTCACTCATAATACTAGCGTAATACGGTTAAACGCAAAAGGTTCACATTACAAATTTCAAACAAACTTTATTAAATTAAAATAATAAAGATTAGTTGTGTGAATTAAATTTTTATCAACTTTCTTAATGATCGGTCAATAGTCTCGTTGAAAAATGTCATCAATTAACTGGCATTAAATAAATTTAATAAGAACGCAAAAAAATTAAGCTCGACTTTTCATCGGGAACTTGTTTCGTAGTACTTACTAATAACAACTTCAGGAAAATGTTTCGTAACCGACCGACTCAAACACAGACATGCGGTACGGCGCAAGACGTGGGCTATGACGCCATTAATCAATTCAAGATATTCAGGGAAACGTCGTCACCACGGATCTATGACGTCATTCGTATGCATCACATGTTCTGGCACTTCGCCAGTCCCGAACACCAATATGTGATAAATTGTCGTCGTAAGATTCTTTAAGAACATACATTTTCCATGGAAATTTTTTTGCAGTCATGCAAAATATGTTTCGATAAAAATATTCAACTTTATATCCTGTTTCAATAAAAATATTTCCAATAATGTAGGTATATTTATTTACATTCAAAGTGTTTAAATATTAGTATTTTATGCTAGCTTATCTTAAGTAATAATAATATAAGCCCTGAGATTACTTTTCCGTTTCAACGCCTTTTCAACATTATAATAATTATAATTAAAACCACTTTTTATACTGTGCCATGCGACCTTATTCTTTTAGAAATGAAGTCGTGTAAATGCTGCTAAAACGTCCCCAGCACAATTTTGTTACTCCATCATCATCATCATCATTTCAGCCTGTTTGAGTCCACTGCTGAACATAGGCCTCCCCCATAGACTGCCACGAAGTACGATCCTGAGCCACCTGCATCCATCGACTTCCCGCACATTTGCACAGGTCGTCACTCCATCTAGTGGGGGGTCGTCCCACACTGCGAAGCCCAGTACGAGGCTGCCACTCGAGAACCTTTCTTCCCCAACGGTTATCAGTTCTACGAGCTATATTTCCGGCCCATCGCCACTTCAGCTTGCTAATCCTCTGAGCTATGTCGGTTACCTTGGTTCTACTGCGGATGTCTTCGTTACGAACTCTATCACGCAGAGAAATACCGAGTTATAGTTATAGTTACTCCATATAGTAAGCGTAATAAGTTTACTTAGACGTTTTATAAGTTTATATTTATATTTCATTATCATATTATAAATGGCTTTAAAATCTATTTAATAAATTATACATTAAAATTAACCAGTATCTCGTTTCAGTTCTCATATAACATTTGACATTCAGGCAATTTTAAGATAAGAACTCAAAGATTAAATATGACTTAACTAAAAGTTAAAAATTTTTCTTATTTTATTGGGTTCTAATATTTTTTTCATTCATTGAAAATAATATAAATTTGATTTAAACTTATTATTATTTCCACACCTCGTCCCGAATCATTCGAAATGTCGGTGGTTACGTATCCAGAGAATGTTAGGTAATCCGCAGTTTAAAAAACGCTATACACAGTCGTAAAATAGTTTAGATATTTACAAGACTTGTAACAAAATAAAATGTAACATTGCGTATTCCGTTAGTGTTCAATTACAGCTGGCATGCATGTGCGAACTTTAATGTCAGATCCACAACACGAGGCACCAGGGCCTCAGTGGGGATTATTTGATGGCTTATGGTCGCGAAAATGTAGCGGACTAACCCCCGTCAGACCATAAAAAAGTTGTATAAGCAATGGTATTTACACATTTAATTTCAAATCGGATATGTCTCATTTATTGATGTAGTGCGCTGCTTTTTTTTATTATTTTTTATCAATCAAATCAATGTACGTACATGGATGTACATCCATTTTAGATATTTATAATGCTTTTTTTTTATGTGAGAAAGTGGCAAACGAGCCGGCGGTTCACCTGATATCAAATGATAACCGCCTGCCCATGGACATTTGCAACACCCGTAGCGTTGCAAATGCGTTGCCACCTCTTAATAATGTCGGCCCCGGCTGCCTCACTCACCAGACGAAACGCAGAAGTGCAACACTTACTTTACGTTGGTCTTCTGTGAGGTCGTGATACTAACCCGGACGGACCTGCCCATTCGTGCAACAGCCGAGGCTGCTGTGTGGCCCCACGACCGTAATTTTGGAGTGCACGTAAACTAAAAAAATGTCAATTACATGGAGTCTATATCGATCTTTATTTATTATTTTTTAAGAATCGGATAGTTCCGGTGACAAATCTTTGATTCACGAAAAGAAATTAATCTGAGAACTATCCAAATGTATTCCACGTGTTAGATGAACCAAGATGTCGCTGTGGTACGGCCACGCAACAGTGTTCACTGTTGCACGAATGGGCAATGCCAACCCGGTACGTACCACGACCTCACAGAAGACCGGCGTAAAGTAGAAGTACATTTCTGCGTTTCGTCTGGTGAGTGAGGTAGCCGGGGCCCACTTTATTTAAAGGTGGCAAACCGTCACACATGGAGATTTGCAACGCTACGGGTGTTGCAAATGTCCATGGGTGCGGTTATCACTTTACATCAGGTGAGCCGCCAGCTCGTTTGCCACTTTCTCACATAAAAGAACTACACGCTAAATCTTACTATATAAATGTTAATTAAAATATCCAATATTTAAAGAGAAACGTAATTTAAGCTTCAACATTATTTATGTAAGTTAATAGCTAATAATTACACTGATAACGGGCGTGGAGCGATAGCCAAAACGGCCATAAACTTCCACCGCAGAAGCTAAAAGCTTGGCTGATAACGCCGCAATCCACTAACATCGAGCATTGGTCGACCTTGAATTAGGCAGAGGTTGTAAACCTGTCACATGACCAGTAGCGATAACGTATAACGCTATCCGAAAACTATTCATTGTGTTGGCAGTAAATAACGATTTGCATTCGGTCCTTTTACGAGGGACGACTATATTAATGTCAGTAATTTAATTTATTCCTAAGCTTCGTTTTTAATTTCTTTTAGCGTAATAAAAAAAAATACAGAGTAGTATCAACGTAGAAACGTTGACATGTATTTTAAACTTGCTACGAACTGCTACGATGCACCCTTAAATAATGTCCGTAATATTAAATAATTAAATAATGTGACTGCCGTTATGTGAATAAATAATATAATTTCGCACCTCCATTAATTAGTTAAAATTTGGACTCAGTGGCGCAGTTGCTAAGCTATTCTAGCTAGTCGTGGGTTCGATTCCCACACAGGACAATTATTTGTGAGACCTTGGTGGTTAAAGGGTCTGGGAGCGATTTTGGAATACGCGTATTTGATTCGCGTTGGGGCGAAGAAATTTTTGTCCATTTTTCTACAAAAACTTTTAATAAACTCATACATTTTTTTTATCCATAAGATAACCAAAATCCAAAGATAGCCAAAACTGTAAGCGATCTTTGGCTTTTGGTTTTGTGCCAACCCCTCCGATGAGGGATGAGGGCAGCATGATGATTTTTTTATCCATAAGAAGCAAGGGTGAAGCCTATAATTTTATACAATATTTGGATAAAATTCCATCCCTTTGGATTAAGTTCGTCTGAAAATATAATCTAAAGGTTATTTTTATACAATATTTGGTGGGTTTTTTTGGTAGTTATTTTATTCAATAATGGTTAATAGTAAATTGCATCCCTTTTGGTTTAAGAACCTCTGAAAATATAGGCTAAAGCTTAAACC